TGGGAGGCAGTGTGCAAAGCCTTGCTGAAGTTGATGCAGACAACATCCACTGCTCTCCTCTCATCCACCCAGCCAGCCATGCCACCACAGAAGGCTATCAGATTGGTGAAGCATGATTTCCCCTTAGTGAATTCATGCTGACTACTCCTGATAACCTTTTCTTCCACATGCTTGGAGATGACATCCAGAATGAGGTGCTCCATCGCCTTTCCAGGATGGAGGTGAGGCTGACTGGCCTGTAGTTTCCCAGATCCTCCTTCTTGGCCTTTTTGAAGACTGCAGTGACATTGGCTTTCCTCCAGTCCTCAGGCACCTCACCTGTCCTCCATGACCTTTCAAAGATTATGGAGTGGCCAAGCAACAGCATGTGCCAGCTCCCTCAGCACTCTTGGGTGCATCCCATTGGGGCCCATGGATTCATGGGTATCCAGTTTGCCTAAAAGATCCCTAACCCAATCTTCCTCAACCAAGGGAAAGTCTTCCTTTCTCCAGGGTCTGGGATTCCTGAGGACCAGCCTTAGCAGTAAAGATTGAAGCAAAGGACATATTCAGTAACTCCACCTTCTCCATATCCTCTGTCACCAGGGCACTGACCTCATTCAGCAGCAGGCCCACATTTTCCTTAGTCTTCCTTTTGCTACCAATGTATCTGAAGATTGTATCATAGAAAGGTAAGTTATACATCAAAGGCTGGAGCTTTTATTTGGACAGGAATTTAAAGAGACAGATGCATAGGGCTAGGTTGTGTTCATATATACACTGCATGTCTTTTTGTTCTGTTAATGGAAAATGTAAGAATTCACTATTCGAGAACATACTGTAACAAGTGCATGAGTATTGTTTTAAGTGTCAGTGTTCAAATAATGACTGCTCAGTTATTGTGCAACTTCATTTTGTATGAGTTTACAGTTGCTGCAACAATTGCTAAGCCATAAAATGCCACAAAACAGTCAAACAAAATTTAAAGAGATCAGTACCCGAGATTTGTTAAAAGATTTGTAATTTAAAAAGATTTGTACCCAAGAACATACTTGCAGGAAGCCTCTCTAGTGGGGAAATACTGACTTCCATGAGCTATGAAGTACATTAAATTCATAACACAGCAAATTGTAGTTACTTTAATACTACAGTACATCTCAAGCAATGCTTGTATTCATGAGCAGCTGGAAATAATCACTGAAGGTGAAAAGCATGCCATGGAGTTGAGTGGACACAGATCTTAAGAGGCTCTGAGTGCCATTAACAGTCTCAGTGCCACTGTCCTGAAGGAACATGAATGACGACAGGGTGACGCAGCACACCCACTGAACATACAGTTCAATGGAAACAGACACATCCTATCAGCTGGCTGGAGTATCACAACTCAGCCAGCCAAGCTGATGAGCTGGTTGTAGTACGAACAGATTTGGTGCACGGCAGCAACTTTGCAATGCTGAGGATTTGTTTTTCAAAGCAGTAAAGGCTGACACTTGACTGAGGCCTTTCAGCAGTTTTTCTCCAGGGCTGTGAATGGAAAGCTTAACCTAGTGATTTGCTGTCTTTTATGGATCTTACGTAGTAATCTGCTCATACTTTGAAGTTGTACATATCCTGTTTGCAAAGTCCCCTTGAGCAAGGCTAAACATAATCCAAATACTGCCCCCAAAGAGCTGAGGCTGGTAAGAAGTTTTCATGATTAAATTATGACAGCAGCAATTCAGTGTTCACCCCTACTGCAAAGCGTTATATTACAAGTCCAGACTGATGACAATTCCAATGATTACATCATCAAAAAGGGAAATTGTAAGGAAACAGTGATTTTTTGACATTAAATATAGGCAAAATAAAATGATTTTCCACACAGACTCAACCCTGGTTAAAGTCAGTGGTTTATAGATGGCATTCTCTTTCTTACACCTCCCGCACTGACAATTGTATCAGTGATGAGCAGCAAGACTACATAAAGAATACATAAACAAGTGGGTACAAGATGGTGCAGAGGCAGCTGTAAGTGACTCTTACAAGCAAGGAAGTGTTGTAAACACAGAATACCTTGGGAAAAGTTAAGAGTAAACAAACACATTTTATTTAGCTGCTTTGGCATGTAAGAGACTACACTTCCCATATGCACAGTATTTCACATCACTGCTTTTACTAAGTGTGTGAAGTCTATGTACCCTATATGAGTAAAATCTTCTGTTCCATACTTACTGATGCTTGTTCACCTATGACTATCTAACAGCCTCCTAAACACAAAGTTGGTCATAAATTAAGGCAGTCTGTCTACTAAAAAAAAAACTCAAAACTTTCACACAGGCAGAATAGCTTCAGTTAATCGGGGACAACCTTCAGAAGAAAAACAGGCATAAAGCCTACCTATCTTCTAAAAGACTTTGAGAACATAACTTTCTGAAAACGTTTATTGCCTACCTCCCATTTTAGCTGTTTTCAGGCAGCAACTCTAGACTGGCTTTATGGAATTCTCATGCTCCTTGGAATGTACAGACCAAGTAGGTCACTACTGAAAATACCTCAGGAGAGCCTTGTTGCATGTAAAAATCAAACAGCTCAAGCAAGGATACAGAATTTCAGCTGGCTACTGCCAAACTGCCAAGCACTTACACATGTTGAAACTCAGTGACCTACTTTCATATATTACTTACTGTCTTCAGTGGTGACCCCGGTTTTTTCTTCACTCCAGTCACTCCAGTAGCCCACTCCATCTTCCTTCATGCAACGAATTGAAAAGACATACTCTGTGTAGGGTCTGAGCCCTTGAACACTGAATGAAGTTCTTGGTGAAGCTGTATCTTCAGGAGGAACCTGTAAACAGTAGAAAGACTTTAGAGGCACTGATGAAAAATTGTAAAGCTGAGTTCTGTGCTCCCATCCATGAGGGCTCCCCACCGCACATAAACTATGTTGTTTGTATTGAGTGTTTCTCCCCTCTTATTTCCAAAAGTTTCAATTCTCAACCATGGTTTGGTAAGGTATCATAGTTGTGCATATCTACCAGGACATACACTAGAATTGGTAAGCAGCTCTCATGCTCTGTTTTACTTTTTAATTAGTTTACATCTACCTCTCCTTCCTTCCTTCCCATGTAATTCCCCTATTTACTGATCTGTAACATCCCACCTCACATTTCAGAAATTTGCTAGGTTATCTGCTTAATTATTGATTGCTAAATACTTGTGCTAGAAGCCTCCTATAAAGCTAAAAGAATTCCCCATCACTGCTTCCACTGATACAAAACAGTGTTTTCTTAACTGACACTGGAAATACTTTTAGATTATTTTATACTTTTGCTAATAAACAAGTTTGCTTTCATAAGCTCTATCCTTTACTTACATTAGCAACTGAATGCCAGAAAATATTCTTGCTGCATATGTACAGAAAAAGATATGTGATGTAAATATGTACATATGTACAGAAAAACACGTGTGATGTAAATAACACATATATGTAGGTACACACACACTGACTCCATCAGATGTTACTCCATTTGCAATTAAGAGGTTTTTATGGTAAGCAACCCTGCCAGAGGAATGACTAAGTTAAACACACATGCAGGACACTTAAGAGGTTAATCCTGAGTGCAAAGAATTGTCAAAGTAGTCACATTTTACCACAGCTAAGCAAGCTCAGTTGTTTTAAAAGTTACTATTTCAATGGTCTTGTGCACATGTTAAAAAGGCAGGACAAGTTAAAAGAACTTAATAGGACCATGTATGAACAGATCCTGTAGTTTCAGAATAAGCTGTGCACAGTAGTGCTCTTTAAAATATCAGTTGAGGTGACCTTAATCTCCACATCTGAAGCCAAATAAGTTCCTCCAAAGGAATATACCACATTAGTCACAAGCAGTTGTGTTATGACACCTCCTTCAAAAACTGTATTTCGTAATCAGAAGCAGCCTTTCTTCCAACAAGTCATGCAATCAGTATACTTTTGGGCCTCTACTGAAACAAAAGATGGGAAGATCTTGATGAAAAGATAGTTTCTTGAATAGTGCTGCTCTGAGAGAAGGCTTAAAGAAAGGGAAAACTGAGAAGCTATTGAAAATACATCCATAGACTGATGAGCAAGAAACCCACAACTCTTGATGATGTGAACATATCATAAAGATTACAGTAACACATACTTCCTACTCTTTTCCAGTTCCTTGACTGTATCAAGCTTAAGGCATGTATGTAGGGCAACCACACTGCATAGAATCATAGGATCATTTAGGTTGGAAAAGACTCTTAAGATCATCAAGTCCAACCATCAACCTAACACTGCCAAGTCCACCACTAAACCGTGCCCATAAGCACCACATCTACACATCTTTTGATTATCTTCAGGGATGGCCACTGAACTGCTTCCCCAGGCAGCCTGTCCCAATGCTTGACAACCCTTTTGGTGAAGGAATTCTTCTTAATATCCAATCTAAATCTCCCCTCTTGATGTCATTTCCTCTTGTCCTGTCACTTGTTACTTGGGAGAAGAGACTAACCCCCACCTGGCTACAACCTCCCTTCAGGTAGTTAGAGAACAATAAGGTCTCCCCTCAGTCTCCTCTTCTCCAGGCTAAACAACCCCAGTTCCCTCAGCCGCTCCTCACAAGACCTGTTCTCCAGTCCCTTCACCAGCTTCATTGCCCTTCTCTGGACACGCTCCAGCACCTCAACGTCCTTCTTGCAGTGAGGGGCCCAAAACCGCACACAGTATTTGAGGTGCAGCCTCACCAGTGCCAAGTACAGGGGCACGATCACCTCCCTGCTCCTGCTGGCCACACCATTTCTGATACAGGCCAGGATGGTGCTGGCCACCTTCTTGGCCACCTGGGCACACTGCTGGCTCATGTTCAGACAGCTGTTGACTACCCCTTCCAGGTCCTTTTCCACCAGACAGTTTTCCAGCTGCTCATCCCCAAACCTGCAGCATTGCATGCGGTTGTTGTGACCCAAATGCAGATACAGCAAGTTGAAAAAGGCATCCCAGCACTATATAATGTTTGCCCAAGCTTTAAGCGACATTTAGATTAGTAGTTTTGCATGTGCATGGGAAGATGAAAGTTCATGAATGTTCCAGTTGTTGCATGTACAGAATAAAATTCAAAATAAACATAATGTAACATGATGGGGAGGACAGTAGAGAAGTCCACAAAATAAAAAGACAACATCATTGTACTCTATATTATGCAAAACAAACATAGATCACAGCTTTCATGAACAGGCCAAATAAACTACCTTGAGAAGCCACACAAGCCCTAAAGATAAAGCAAATCCTCTGAACTGCAGCAGTAAGGTAACTTATTCTGCAGCTTGACATCGGTTACATCAGAATAGTGACAGGGGACATTAGTGGCATTACCTGCATCCAGTTTGGGTCACCAGTGATCCTATAGCGAATATTGAATTTCAGCTTCATCACAGCTGCCGAAATCCGATCCTCCCAAGAAAGCTTCAGAACAGTAGGCAGTATTCCCGAGTTGACTGATAAGTTGTGTGGAGACAGAGGTTTAACTGGAAGAGAAGGAGTTAAGAGTCAAATCTACAGCTGTAATTCATCATGCCTCTAGCAGTTGGTAGAGTATGCTTTAACACTGCCATTAAAGCCTTTCACACACTCAGACTGCTGCTACTTTACATTAGTTTCAGACTACTCAACAAGAACTTGCTATCTAACTGTGATCAAACCTCTCAACTTCCCTACCTTTGTCCAGCACAGTTCCAAGTTCTAGTCAACAATATTTTGGCAGCATTAAATTTCATAGTGAAGAAACACTAACATATCAATTCAGCAATGTGCACAGAAGCAGCAGTTACGTACTACTAAAGCTTTATTAAGAGGCCCATAGTTACCAATCTCAATGGGATCAAAAACAAGAGGATCAGATTCAGCCTTCCCAAGAGCATTTGTTGCTTCCACCCAGACCTCCAGGTTAACAAAGAACTGAACATCAGCAATCGTACAAGAATTGTTAACATCTTTTGGTATGCAGTCAGGAAAGTTATCTTGTGGCCTAAATAAGAGAAGGAAAAACAAGGTATAAAGCATTAAGTTTGGCTTCCTTTAGAGAATATTTTTAAGTAGATCAGAGTGATCAATCAATTTAGCTCTTATGTTTCTCCTCTGCCATTATCTCTGTAATCAGAGAGCAGAAAGAAAAGGTGAATAGATTAGAATGGCTTCTTCAGCCACAAATGCATGATCACATTAGAACAGAAACTAGAACAAGATTTCTTGACTTTCAAGTCATCAAAAGCAGAAGCCACAGCATTGTAATTATAAAGTTGTGTAAAATCCTGACTTAGCTTAATAAATAGAGATCGATAATAGATACATTTAATCAAAGGCAATATGGCTAGTAACCAGAAGCATAGCCATGCATTAAAAGATGTAGTCAGTATTACATGCATACCCTTGAAGAGCACAGTTTTACAGGTGCAACAGCATCATTTCTGTTCACCTTCTGCTACTCTAGGGCCACCAGGAGATTTGCAAAGCATTCAGGTTTTCTATCTACCCATACTTCCTATTACACTTGCTACCAAAACACTTCAGTGGAATGGGGTAGGTGGAAACCTACAGAGCAACAGTTCTGTCCACTCCATTTTAAACTACAAGAGATTAGTTGAAAAGTTTGAGAAATACTGAAGTTAATTTGCTTTCACAACAGAAATACTTTTGCTGAAGCTTTCATGTAGGATTAATCGTGGATAAACACAATTCTGAGTTCTTAGGAAGTACAGAGTAGATAATACCTCTACAAAATCCAGTCACTATATGTTCATTTCTCTACTTAGAATCACAGACTGGTTTGGGTTGGAAGGTACCTTTAGAGGTCATCTAGTCCAGCCCCCTGCAGTGAGCACAGACATCTTCTGCTTGTTTAGAATAGAATAGTCACCACAGAAAAATGTACAATATATAATTTGGGTCTAGTCACCTAGTGATTAGTGTATGGTACTCAAGCCACACTAACGTGTTTGAAGAACGGAAAAATACGAGATAGCTGTTACTCAAACAATTGCAGCCACAAAATTTCAAGTCTGACTTAGGATTAGTTTAAATGTGAACTTCTTTAGCTCCTCCCTTCCCCCCAAAACAGACAACAATGCTTCAGAAAACTATATTTAAGTTAAGAACTCTTCCAAAGTGTCAAGAAATTTCAAAGAAACTTAGTTTAGCCCACAAATATTCTTCAAAACTATTTAGATATTCTACAGAGGGCTACTTACCATCTGTATTTCAACCTAAACTCAGTGTCCAGGAACGTATGGCTTCCAGGGTTCCAGGTACAAGTCATAGGATATGTGAGTTTTGACCTCTGATGCACAATGCAACTTAGGTTCTTGGGCTTCTCTGGGGGCACTGTACAGAAAAAAGTTAGCAACAACTACTCTATATACACATTTCAATCCAGTAAGAATCATGATAGGTGTCCCATTAGAGCAGTTTCAGTGAACATGAGCAGTATAGTCAGATTTATTTCTAAAGAAGGGGGCAAGAAGTGCGAGATACTACCCAGCAATGGAAGTCAAGAAGCTTAACCAGCTGCTCTGAGAAACAGGAGGCTGTATAAGAAACAAGCACCTGACAGTAACGAACAGCAGAGAAGATTTCTCATTCTTGGAAGCAGAAAAACTATTATCAAGCATCTCTCATCTAAATCTATCTTAATTCACACAGGAAAAAAAATGGTAACGAGCACTACAGCTGGATTGGCATACATTGACTTTGCAAATAATCTGAGCTCTAAGGCAATTCTAACAGGTCTATTCCCCACTTGAGCTATGGAAGAAGGATGCTTTAGCTGTGAACATCTACAAGAAAGATAGGGGATCTTCATCAGTGCACTTTAGTAGAGTGTAAGAAAATTTTTCAGATTGCAGCTGAACTACTTTTTTCCTTCATAAATTCAAATCATAGCATATAAAATGTTTGTTTCTAGCTTTTAGAATATCACTATTTACAAGCGTAAAACGTACCTGAATCTCACTTCCTTTCAAACAGAATGCCATTTCCAACAGAACTACCTTATGAATCTTATGGGTTTAGAATAACTTAGGCTGGAAAGGACCTCCAAGATCACTGAGTCCAACCATTAACCCAGCACTGCCAAGTCCACCACTAAACCATGACCGAAGTGCCACATCTACACATCTTTTAAATCCCTCCAGAGATGGTCACTCAACCGCTTCCCTGGGCAGCCTGTTCCAGAGCTTGATAACCCTTTTGGTGAAGAAGTTTCTCCTATGTCCAATCTAACCTCCCTGGCACAACTTGAGGCCATTTCC